GGTGGGGCAGGGGGGTCCTGGGCATGGCAGGCAGGATGGCCCAGTTGTTCTTGATGGTGTGGCTGCCCCCAGTGGATACTAGAGGATAGCTCTCCCCAACAGGCTCACCATCCCCAGTGGCCACTCTCAGTATCACATCCCTTCCAACAGCCCAGTCCCCCCCTTCCCATTATGTAATACAGTCCCTTTCTCAGCACTTCCTGTTCTCCTGGCACAACCACACCCTGACCTTGCTTTCAGTGAGAGTAAGAGGAAGTCGCATACCACATTTGGTGGCCCTAGCTCTTACTGTTCCCCAACAGGCTCACCATCCCCAGTGGCCACTCTCAGTATCACATCCCTTCCAACAGCCCAGTCCCCCCCTTCCCATTATGTAATACAGTCCCTTTCTCAGCACTTCCTGTTCTCCTGGCACAACCACACCCTGACCTTGCTTTCAGTGAGAGTAAGAGGAAGTCGCATACCACATTTGGTGGCCCTAGCTCTTACTGTTTAAAAGAAGTTCATGAATAAATGGACTTACAGACAGACACAAGACAGACATACAACTCTCTAAAATATCTATCTGTCCGACTAGAGAGAAAAGTGTTTTATCCGGTATGCTGGAAGAATGGGGTGGAAAATGGTAGTTAACTAAGAGAGAGCGCGTTTGTATTATAAGATTGTATTATAGCCTTAATTTATAGAACCTTAACTGAAGACACTTGAAAGGGGCACATTGTTCATAGCTTGGGTGCTTAGCACTTTGTGAAAAATCAGGTCTCTTTAGAAGATCTCAAGTTGAGCATCCAGTAACCGAGGCAGCCAAAGTCACTAGTCACTTTGCAAATCTCTGACCAATGCACAGATGTGCCTGTTCTAATCTGTATTACATAGCAACATATGAGGAGGTACTAACTCATTATTCTGCTATTAAAATCATCATATTAAACATAACAGATCACAGCAGGATTGTCCAAGAATATATACAAGTGATCTCAACAATTAATATCCAACTCAGAGCCTCAGAAAGCTTCCCAGGTGTTGGAGGAAATAGAATGCCAAACACGCCTGTGACAACCATGAACATACCTTTTTTACAATCCCAGTCGTGGTCACAATGTTCTCTGCTCCTTCGACAGTCTTGCCTGCCACTGTGTTCACACTGGCCACCACAGCTTCACCGACCATGTTGGCCTGCTCTTTGGTTTTTTCAGCAACTAATGGTTCAAAGAAAAGTAGAGTCAGTGAATGAAATTCCAAACCAGGCTTTAGTTGGATTCCATCCTAACTGGCAGTCTATAGAGCTAGTCTGGGCCACTGAAATGGATGTGCAGGGGACAGATGAACCTGGAACCACCCCAGCCTGGGAGACAGGTGCCCCTCCCCCAGCCATGCCTGCTGGTGCTGCAGACCTGGCCCTAAGCACTGAGCCATAACCTACAACAATGCCCAGTGACGAGCATCCTTGGCCCACCAGCAGCAGAACACTCAAACTCTCTGATGTGCAGAGCAGAATATCAAAAGCCTCCAGGAGCCGTCCTGTGTTACTTTGTTTAGGAGTTCCAACATGCAGAGCGTTTCTAGCATCCAAGAAGTATTCTGGGAATCATGGCACTTTGGCTTCTGAAGCCTAAAAGAAAACTCTTGCTTTGTACCATTAGCAATTATATTCCTGTTCATATTTACGACTGCACGCTGTCCACTTACGCAAATCTGTAGGGACTGTGCTCTTACCTGAGCTCACGCTGTGCACAACCCCTTCCTTGGTTTTGGCACCTGTGGAAGGAAACAGGCTTCGTCAACTTCATCCCTTAGTGGAGAGCACTCTGGGTCCTGCAAGCAGAGCACCTCAATTCTGAGCTCCTGAGTCCTACTCCCACTCAAGTCTATGGGAGTTGGGTAGCTCCAGTTCATTTCTCTGGCACGTGCATTATCTGGAGGTGCCTAGACAGTTAACCTTTGCCTTTTACCCACATCAGTAGCATCTTTCAATGAGAAGCTGGTTGATTTAACAGAGCCTTTAACCACACGTTAGGTTAGTTAATCAGTTAACAGAACATCAAGAACTTACCTTAAAGAAACATCCAAATCCTGCTCTTCCCTCCCCCCCCCCACATTTTCAAACACTGAGCTCCAGCTCCTGAGGGCCAGGCTCAGAACTTTTTACGCCCCTGATACCCCACAGGCAGCAGAAGTCGAAGATTGGGCTCAGAGAGGCAGATGCTGCCGATCACTGTCACAGTGATGGTGACAGCTTCGGTATTTCTAAATACCATTGTGACAAACAACTATAAATAACTATGTAGGAATATGTGATGCATTTAGCAGCCCCACACTGAGCTGAGGTGCTTGAGTCAATGGAAGTTGAAGGGACAGGTTCCTACGGAATAACAACTTTAACCTGAAACAACATGCTCAGCAGACCTCATTGTATCTGTGCACTGCAGGGGCAAACATTTTTGATGAGGGGGGACACTCCAAGAATTTAGTAAGTGGTCAAGGGCTGCACTCTTCCATGATATTAATGGAGGAAGTGCAGGGTCTCTGATGGGTGCAGTTGGGAGCTCAGGGTAGGGGACTAGGGTACAGGAAGAGGTGTGGGGTCTGGGAAGGAGTTTGGATGAAGGAAGGGGTTGTGACTTGGGGCAGAGGATTAGGGTGCAGGAAGGGGTGTGGGTGCAAGAGGGGGTATTGGTGCAGGAGAGGATTCTGAGCTGAGGAAGGGTGTAGGAAGGGACGGAAGGCCTTGGAGGGGGCTTGTGATCTGGGGCAGGGGTTTCGGGTGCAGGCTATGGGTGCAGGAGTGGGGATGCAGAGGCTAGGTGCAGGGGTTTGGCTTGTGAGCTGGGGCAGGGGTTTGGGGTGCAGGCTATGGGTGCAGGAGTGGGGATGCAGAGGCTTTGGATGACATGGTGCAGGGGGTAGGAGAGGGAGTAGAGGATTGAAGTGCGGGAGGAAGGGGCTGGGGTGCCTGAGGCAGGCTTTGTCCAGGAGGTGCTTACCTAGGTGGCCCCCATCCAGCAGGTCTCTCAGGCAGGCTCCCTACTTGCCCCACCCCCACATGCATTCACAGTGGCCAGCTGGGGGAGCGCCATGTACCTCTCTGAGTGCAAGGAGACCCAGGGTGGGGGGTACTTTGTGTGCTGCCTGACCTGCAAACAGGAAGCTGCCATTGGCCAGTTTCCAGCCAATGGGAGCTGTGAGATTGTGCTGGGGGTGGGGCAGCACATGAAGCCTCTCCTAACCCACTTGCTGCACATGACCCCCGCAGCCAGTCACTCTGAGTGGCGTGGGGGGTGGGGCAAGCAGGGAACCAGCCCGAGGCTCCCACTGGGCCACAGGATGGATCCAGCACTTGGCAGCCTGGCTGTGGCCTGCAGGCCATATTGTGCCCATGCCTGGTATTCTGCAATGTGCACAGTTCATCAGATCACTTACAGCATTTTTTGCTCTGCAGCTTGTTGTGTTCCCCAATAGGTAAACACGCTACCTCTGCTCAAACTATGCACTAAGAATAGCAGCGTGGCCGTGGTGGCACGGCAGTGGCACTGGCTAGCCCCCTGGGTACAAGCCCACCCAGCCCTCTGGACGAGAGTTTGGGGTGCTAATCGAATCTGCTGTCTAGGCAGCAATGTCCAGACAGCTATTTGTAGCTTGAGCAGAGCTAGGACGTGTGTGTCTGCCCAGGCTGGGAAGCTGAGATTTTCAACCATTAGAAGAACCCTAAACACTGCGAAATGAAGGTGCAGGGCCCTTTGGAAATCAGACCTTCCCGAGTCCATGGACCACAAATTGAAAACTCTGCTCGAGTGTTTGAAAGGCCCTGCTATAGCTAGAGTCAGTGTTACATTAAAAACCATCTCTCGTGTAATTCCATTGATTTGAATAATGAATCTTCCTTAAAAACTGTTTCCCATTGTTTCCATCTTACCGAGTTTTAAAGAATCATTTAAATCTACAAGTCTCCTGTTGACTTTTTCATGCCTGTGACATAACAACAGACACTTCTAATGGCCAGGTTACAAAGTGCTATCCAGAGTGATGCAGAAGCACCCAACTCCTTAGCTACAGCAGCACCTATTCAATAATTGTGCATGAAGGGGGGAGTTAGCCGCAGACCATGCCCCGCACTCATTACAAGCCTGGAAGGAAGGCAGAACATGTGCACTTCTGTGATAACTCTTAAGCCAGCCCAAGTGCATCCTTTTGGATTGAAATGTGTAATGTACAAACATAACCCCGCTCTGTGTAGCTCAAAGGCTTGTCTCACCAACCGACATCTGTCTAGTATAAGGTATTACCTCGTTCTCCTCGTCTCTGTAATATCCTGGCACTAACCCTATTATAGCACAGTATCCAAACATAGCACACGCCCTTTTTTTATGTTTCTTAAGGTCATCCAGAGCTGAATACAAAGAAGCTGCCTTTCTACTTATCAACCTAACATTCTACTTCATCCTTAAATGACCATACAGTCACGCAGCAGAAACTAAATCCTTGATTAATGTAACAGAATGACTTGATATAGCAGAGTATCTGAAAGCCAGAGACAATTGCACTCTGCCTGTAATACTCTCTGTAATCATGTAGCAGCTAACAGCACTGAGCAGAACAGGTCTGCATGGCATAAATGTCCACAAAAATACATGCAGTGCCGATGTGTGCTGAGTGCACCAAGTTCTGTTCTAATATACCCATTCCTACATGTACCCCCTGCACCAGGCTGTACCATTCCCAAAGAGCACTGCTCAACAGTTAGTTATTCTACGAGGACCAGCCATTGAAAGGTAGCTCTGCATGACTGCTCATAAAAATGCAATGCTGTTAAATATGGAAAAATCAAGGAAACCAGCTGGGTGAATTAGCTGAACTCATGTATTTGGTATCTTTGTATTACTTCAGTGAACATACAAACCAGAACAAGAATTGTAATGAGATTTTCTTATCTCAGCCATTACATGTGGGGTTTGTTACCAGGACTCTTCACAAATAGCTCTGATTTCCCCCTTTCCTTTAACTGGAAAACAATGCCAAGGGAAAGGGGCCCTGGGAAAACAAAAACAGCTAAATGCAGATAAAGATGGAAGCAGCCGCGGCAGCAGCCAAAAGCCTCTTGCGCTGCAGCTTGCACACAGCTTGTTAGGTTCTTTCCACTCAGGACCACACCCAATGACTCAGCTGTCAGCTTCCATAAAGCACTGCATGCAATCTAATCTTCTTCTTCAGGCATGTACCCTTGCCAACAAGCGGCATCTGTTGGACTGCAGAGCAGTCAGTGGAAGCAGTCAAGTGGCACTGCTAATTTTTAACTTCCTTGCAGCTCGTGTGCCTAGAATTTCAAGTTCATCCCTTCCCTGCCCTACTTCTGAAAGGAATGAGCAATACGTACTATCCTGAAAGTCTGCCATTGGGGACGGAGGCACCAGTCAGAAGGGTTATATTCTAAGCAGGGACACAGTCGTGTGGTGAAGTGCTGGGCACTGAGGATAGGCATGCCCAGAAAGAAACAGGATGTGACCGGGCACGTTCGGTTCATGCAGGAGGCATTGGAGGTGGCCTTGCCATGTGTAAAGGTCAATGCAAGGGGTGTATTATGAGTGATGCATGGGGCCGGAGGATTTGGGCGTGTCAGAACTGCATTGTTTACTGAGAGCTCCTGGGTTGGAGTATCTAGTATTCACATGATACTGAACATACTTTTGTGATGACCATTGCGCTTTCCATGTTGCTTGCACTCCTGTGCGCCTTCCAGCTCAATACTGCAATAGATTCTCTGCTTGTGTAAATCAACGTCGCTCCATTGGCCTCACTGGAGTTTATGCCTATTTACACCAGCTAAGAATTTGTCCTGGGGTGGCGGCTGGTCATGCAGTAACTGCAGGAATCCACAACAGCCATTACATTCTCCGGGACAGCGGTAGCATGGGCACAACATATTTCAAAAAGCTGTTAGATCTTTCTTTCGCACCTGGGTAGCCACATCTATTGGCAGAAAGGACCCCATTTGAATGGAAGCCCTCACCACCTCTGGCTGAAGTACATGGACAGGGGTCGTGGTCCAGAGATCGGCCAGACTACAACGACTGTGTAAGCTTCAGGAAGCTGAATGCTTCAGTAGATGTCACAGAACGAGCCATTTAAGCTCAACCATTTAAGCTGGTACGGACGCCTGGGCACCTGGAATGTGCGTGGGGACACGGAGACCCCACCAGTGCCGTGAAATGCAGCTTTCGATTCATTCGCCAAGTTACGTAAGAAGTTGACTCAAAACCAGACATCCGCCTCCCCCACCATTGTCCTTTTCCTGACCTCCTGAAAAGACTTTCACATCCCCGCGTGTGCCCACCGCCCAGCAGCTCCCTCCCTTCGGACGCAGGTTGCAAACTCAGTCTCTCAGCGGCAGGCACTGGGACGCGGGAGAGCAGCTCACGAGCATGGCATCGGGGCTGGGCATTTTGATTAAGCATCCCCTGGGCAGCGAGACAAGCAGGTGTTGGCTGCTGCAGTGAAAATGGGTGATGCACAGGCACGTACCAGGCATCCACCTCTTCGGCTCATGTAAACCGGATCCTGAGCGAGAAGAATTGTCTGGCACCCCCACTCTGTGAAATCCTGGGCATCCTGCAGAGCTCTACCAGGCAGCACACCAGGGGTGAGGGGCCTTGTTTGGTTGGGGGCGAGAAGAATTGTCTGGCACCCCCACTCTGTGAAATCCTGGGCATCCTGCAGAGCTCTACCAGGCAGCACACCAGGGGTGAGGGGCCTTGTTTGGTTGGGGGCCACTGACCCATAGAAAACTCAGTTGGGGGCCACACACAAGTGAGAATGAGAAGGAAAAACAAAACCAACCCCCCCAGCTGACCTGGCCGTCAAGTGACAAGGAGAGAGATACTCACTTCCCTCCCCTTGGGCGCCCACCCCACAGGATGGGATCACGGAGGGAGGAGGGGAAGTACCAAAGCTCAGGGCTTAGCCCCAGAGCCGGATCAGCTCAGCTGGGGGCCCAGGGCTAGTAGATTTTGTTGGGCTCCCCTATGCTTTTGGGTGGGGCCAAAAGTGAGGGGTTCTGTGTGGGAGA